GTCAGAGGAGTGGTCAGGTCTGGATACATAGATCTGGAAGAGATCTCTTCTTACCCACACGATGCTGGAACAAAACCCTTTCACACCCATTACCTTCAGTCCTCCCAAATAACCCTGCCTAGTAGGGGGTGCTGGCCTCCTTTACTGCCGAGGAGCACCGAGGCCTGGAGAGGGTAAGTGACAGAGCAGCCTCAAATCCGGCCACCTGAACCTGGACAAGTGTCTCTTTTCGGTGTGTGAGTTGTGACTGGCAGGCAGGTGGATGAGTGCTGGGAAGAGGGTCAGGGATGATGCGGGCAGCAAGCCTCCACGAGGCCGCTACCGCGTGGTAAATGAGCCCTAAATCCCCGCAGGGCTTGCCAAAAGAGTTGTGAGATGATGATCACTTTAATGAGTCCCCACGGGGGACAGCGTCCACATTTGCCTTTTCCAAAGTGTGTCCTGTTTCCTTGCTCACAGATGGGAGTATCAAGCCTTAACAGAACCCCTAGGGAACTCCAAATCCACCCTGAAAAGAGCGTGTTGCTCGTGCTGGGCTTTCAGACCATGAGGCAAGGTAGGCAGGGGGCTTGCTTGTCTTACGTCACAGAGCTGAGAACCCCTGCCATCTGGCTTTGTCCCGTTTCCATCAGCCCACCGTGGCTCTGCTCAGATGTCTGCCAGACCCTCTGGCTCATAAAGGCTGATTGCTGGCGGCTGTCATTTAAATGGAGGCGCATGTCTTTGTCACACTCTGGGCTTGTCCTTTGGAAAAGACAGAAAAGACTTTGGTTTTTTGCTCTAATGAAGGTCACATCCCATGTAGAGGGACCAGAGGGGGTTCTGTTCCCATCCAGCTTCAACCCCAGTTGGCTGTGTTCCTCATGTGTCTGCCGTCTGTTAACATTTTCACATCCATCCTCGAGTCTCATTGTTCCAGAGATTTCAGAAGGTTGGGGAGGGAGCAAGATGAAAAGGAAAGAGAGACCTGCGTTACTGTCCAAAAAGGTGAGGCTTTGGTTTTTAGTTATCTTTTTGTTTTTCATTTTTAACTTTATACATAACCTGGACGTCAATTTTTTGAAATATATTGGGACTTGCATTATGTCCTACTACAGGATGTATATGATAATTTTTGGAAATTATCAGTGTGTGCTTGAAACGAATATGTCAGGTGCAGGATTCTGTATATACTGTTTGTCTGTCGTTCTGCTGTTTGTCTTTGTGGCTTGCGTCTTTGTATGTTTTGCAATTTTGGATTGTGAGCTCATGTTTACAAGGGTTTTATCTGTGAGAATCCTGTGTGGCCTTTACTGTGGGGACTGTCCCTCCAGAGAGGCTTGCATTTGCGACTTCCACATGCTCCGATCCCATGTTTGCATTTTGTATTAATTTCCAGACTTGGGAGTTCTGAGACCGTGTGGGTAGTACAACCTCAAACCTCAAATTTGTGTAAGGCAAGGTCTAGAGTTATAATTTCTCAAGACAGGCTTCATTTTAATTTATCCAACAGAGCCAAAAAATGAGACACACTTCTTTGACAACTTGTTTTTGCAAAAGGGTGATATTTCTCTCCTTTGCTCTTTCATTGAGGATATGGGTTCAGCTTTATTCAGGTGTCTTGGTTCCAAATCGCCTTTGGCAAGGGCCCAAAGCCTGTCTCCCATCTCTATATACACATAAAATCTAAGCTCCTTGGTTCTCAAGATCAGCGAAGGCCAACACTTCCCTACCTCTGTCCCCCGGCCACCCACAGAGCCACCCAGCCAAAAGGTCAGCAACTGCTTTCACTCCCATGTTGGCTTCTTTGTTAGTGGCCTCTGGGGCTTTCTTTACTATCTTGGAAGCTCAGCCGGGTATTTAAAAGAATGTCTGTTATATTTTATCTAGTGTCTCTAAGTATTGTGTGGCAACAGGCTCTTCAGAAAGTTCCATCCACCATGCTTGAAATTTGGGTTCCACTCCTTCTGCCTCTGAGTGACCCTGGGAAGCCCCCTGCTTCCACCCTGCCCTGCCTCCTCATCTGTCTGATGGGGTACATTGTTCCCCAGACACCTGTGTCACAACCTCATCCAGAAAGTGATGTGAGATTGGAAAGGTGGGGGTGGCGGGCAGGGGCTGGATATCCCAGTGGCCTCTGGAGCTAAGCACCTAAGTCCCTAGTGGTCCTTCCAGGATGTCTGATGACCAGTCATCTCAAAGCTGAGGTACATCTGGGGACAAAGACCCTTCAACAAAGGGACAGATTTCTCCAGCAGTGCCTGGGTGGGCAGGAACTCGCTCCGAGCCTCAAATCTATGGGTGAAAATCCCTCCTGGACTCTCTGCCCAATTCACACCCAAGGTGTCCTAAACTGAACTCATCTTCCTCCCAAGCTGACTCCTCTGCCAGATGCCCCAGCCCATGATGTTGCCAACACCTACTCCTTTGCCTACACCAGACCCCCAGGAGGTTTTTAGAGGGTCCCTCTTACAAGCACTCAAAGCCAACCACCAAATCCTCAATATTCTAAATACCTCTTGGCTCTGGACACTTGCTGCCATCTCATTGCCTCAGCCCAGGCCTCATTAGTGCTCACCAGGGTTACTTCAAGTCAGTGCCCTTTGTACCGCCTCTGACTCTCAGATGCTCAGAAAGTGTGGACACCTGGAGGCCAGGGTGGGTCGCCTGTCACTTCCTTTCAATCCCCACTGCTGTGATCAGGCGCCCGTTCCAGGCCAGACACCTTTGGAAAGTGTGAGCTCAGAAGCCAGCAGCCTGAACAAAGTGGGTACGGAATGGGCTCGTCAGCTTGTGATGTGGCTTGAGGGGGGCTCCGCATTTGGATGCAACCACTCTGCCCCCACTCCTCGCCCTTCACTTCAGGCACAGCTTGACAAGGACAGAATTTTCAGCTTCTAGAAAGTGACTGAGTAGTTTTGCAAAATTGTCATTCTCATCTCATCCCAACCCCCATTCCTTTTTTTTTTTTTTTTTTTTTTTTTAGCTGAGCCATCCTGCTACCTATTGGCAGCTCAGCGGCTGCTCAGGTCAGGCTGGACTTGAACCACTGTTGCTCAGAGCTCAAACTCTTGAGCGAGCTCTTAACCAACTGAGCCACTCAGCCAGCCCCCAACCCCCATTCCTTATCTGCCCCAATTTTGAGCTTCACCCCATAGCTGACATGTGGGGTGTCACCCTGGTGAGGCCCAGGAATAGGGTGAGGTAAGGGGTGAGGACCATGTTAGGCACTGCCTGGCAGATGACCCCAAGACAACAGCTGCACTGCGGGTACCCCGCCCAGACGGGTGTTGGGCTCTCTGAGCCCAGTTGTGTGATCTTGCCTGGCTCTCATCACAAACCCTTCGATCCTCCTTAAGAAGCTGCCATGGTCACACTCATTCACCCGCAACTAATAAACAGATGTAGCTGCTTAGTAATGGCCTGACTTGTGGTAAGGTAGTGACCCTAATCTCACAACACACTCGCCTAATAAGAGCAGTCTCTGTGTTCTCAATCCCAGAGGGCATGGGGTTGGGGGGGAGGGGTGCAGAGAGGGCAGAGATGTGCCTGGAGGGAAGCCCCACCCTACTGCCAGAGCTGTGCCACCTCGGGCAGATGAACTGCCTGCTTCAACTCTCTGACTCTCCCCCCGTGACACCGGCTCCTTACTCCAGGCCTCACTGGGCACTGGTGGTGGGATGAGCGGGGCGGGGGGTTGAGGGGCTGTGGGGAGACAACTGAAGTGCTCCCCAGTGCTTGGCATGTAGCAGGTGCGCTCACAACTCATGTTTTTTTCTTGTTTTTGTTTTTAATAAGTACTAAACGAGAATTTGTGGAGAACAGAGCAGAGCCAGGCGAGGTGACAAGGTGGAGGCAAGTAGGGGTGATGAGGAGCAAGCGTCAGAAGAGGGCCGGCCCTGACTTCATGCTGCTCGCCACCCCCCTTGCCCACCTGCCCACCTACATGCCCAGCTTCTGCGGCCTCTGTGTCTAGGACCAGTCTCAGACAGGGAGATGCTTCCATTTGTCCTGCTGGCGACTCAGGGATGGGGAGGGACCAAACCACAGGTCAGTGCCACCTGCAGGGAGGGCACTGCAGGCAGTGGGAGAGCACCTGGAGAGAATGTGTGTGTGTGTGTGGGGGGGGGCGGGGAGGTGGAGCGCCCCGGGCAGGCTGCCAGGCTGAGGACTTGGCACGTGATCCTGAGGGCAGTGGGCTCTCAGGCTTAAGGCAAGGCTGCCAGACCCCTGTGGCACTGGTGTGGATGAGGCAGGAAGTGGTGCAGGCAAGATGGATGCTGGCAGACCAGGAAAGCTTTGCCAAAGAATGGGTCAGATTGGCAGGGGTGGGGGTGGGGGAGACATTTGAGAGGTGCGACATGAGGGATGTCAGGATACCTGGGTGGGTGAGAATTGGAGGGCAATACCCAGTGGAGACCTGGCAGATGGGTAGCCCTGGATACACGGAGGTGCAGCTGTTGGATGGGAGTGCAAGTCCTTGGGGAAGGAAATGGGCTTGCCAGGAAGCCCCGTGAGCATCTTGTCAGGGAGAGGGCTCCTCAAGGCTGTGTGTTTAACTAGAAAAGATGCACAAGCATCCAGGAAACATTTTGCCAAACCTGAAGCAGCTCTGTTACCAAAGCACTGTGCCAAATTGTGGGAACCCTGGCAAGGGCAGCCCACGTGTCCCCCACTCCCTCCCCGGGCTGCTCTCTCCCAGGCTCTGGGGCGACAGGCTTGTTGGGATCCAGCCCCACAGGCCCTCCCTTTCTGTGGGTGCTGATTCCAACTGGGGAACAGGCAGTGGTGGGACTCTTCCCTCCCAGGTGCCCGGCCTCGTAGGCATTCTCCAGGTTCCAGGAAGCGGCAGGCACCTGTTTCACCTGTGCTGGGCCACCAGCTCAGCTCACTTCTAGGTTGTGAGGTGGGGAGCTTGGGGCCACAGTTAAGGGGCAGGGGCCCTCTCCTCACCTGCTTTCTACAGACAACCACAGCCAGAAGAAATGAGACAGACACACCCCCACCACAGGGGCTAGAGCTGAGCTTCGGAATGTGACAATTTATTTGGGGGGGCAAAAGCTTTTCACTCCCCCTTCCTGGCATTGATACAATATTGAAGAGCAGCAGAACAAAACGTACAAGACGAGTAATCGGCACAAAACCCCCTTCCCCGGACCAGAAACCGAATCCAGAACAGAACCAAAACCCACACCTAAAAACAAGCCGTCTTCTCTACCTGCAGCCTCTGGGACAGGGGCAGGCGGACGGGTCCCCCTCACACTGGGGCAACATGTCCACCTCTGGTCTCCTGCCCATCCCACGAGTTTCCTACCTTTAACCACTGGAGGCAAAGTTTAGCCAGCTGGGAGCTGGATGGTTGAACCACAGACAAAGGCAACAACACTTCATTTTTAAAATGAGAGAGAAAAAAGAGACAGTGCCCTCCCCAAATATAGAGCTATATATGTATATTTTATATATATAGAATTCATTCGTGCACAATTCATTAAATGAGCTTTTCAAAAATTAAAAAAATTATAAGATACATTTCTTTAGGCCTTTGTGTTTTTAAATTAAAACCAACAAAAAGAAGTCTCAATCTCCAATCCCGCCAAGAGCAGGGGCGGGTCCCAGAACTTGCTCCTTCCACCGTGGCCTCTAACGAAGGGTCCCCAGTTAGACCATCAGCCCCCTTTGCTTAGTGGAAGCGCTGCACACAGTAGGCACTCAGTCACTGTTGGAGTGGGGTGCTGACTCCTTCAAGGTGGGGTGGGGTGGGGGGAACCTGCAGGCCTGGGAGGTGGAATTCTCAGTCCCCACCTGGCATCTTGGTGACTGTCAGTAAGATGGGGTCAGGCTGGGGAGACACTCTCCTGGAATTTTAGCCCCTAATTCTGGGCTTTCTGAATCTGAGAGGAGATGTAGAGAAAAAAACAAAATCCTTTAAACACTTTCCTTTTTAAAAGTGATTCCTTAAACCATACAAGCCCCCAAGAGGCTGCCTTGGGCTAGTGCATGGGAGCCCGAAAGTGGAACCACTGAGGCAGGGCTCCACTGTCCGGCGTGGGCCAAGTGCAAAAAAAAAAAAAAACCCAACCAAAAGAACAACAAAATAAACCCACAAGCCCCCTCAAAACTCCAAAAGGTGGGAAAGGCAGTGCGTCCACTTGGGTCCCCACAGAGGCTAGAAAGGCTGGCAGTGCCCCCCCTCACCTCCCCCACCCAGCTGTTTCCTACTCTGGTTGACCCCTCACCTAGGACCGCCTGGCTCAGGGGTAGTCTGCCAGCTTTGTGGTGGCCCCAGGGCCCAGGCCCCACCTTTGAAAGGGGCTTTAGAAAGGCCAAAGGCCAGAGCAGCTGGGCTCTTCACCCCAGGGAAACAGCTCTGCTTCTTGGGGCCCGTACCCTTGTCTTTTAAATGGGTTGATCCCTCCCACTCTGCCCACTTCACACTGAGGCTGGGGGCTTGGTCATCACCTCTTTCCAGAGCAGCGAAGATGGAGCTTGTTTGACCTTTTTCGGGGTGAAAACAAAAGGGGCCTGTGGGAGGCTGGGCATCCAGTGCCAGCCTCGACCACCACCTACCTAATCCTTGGCAGCTGCCTGGACACCAGCAGTGCTTTACAAAGAGGACTCGCTGCCCAATACGCCCATTTCAGAGGGCAAACTGAGGGTCAGAGAGGGGAACAAGACAGGGACGGGTCCCAACTTCCCATCTCAAACCAGAGACACCAGACCTCACCTGTTTCCTATGCCATGCGGGGGGAGGTGGGGCACTGGTGGGGAATGAACGATGCCCCAACCAATAGTGAACATGGGAGATTGGGCTGTGGGGGGTATTTCACATATAAAAATAAAGCAAACCAGACTGCAACTTCTGCTTGGTAATTAGGCAAACGGAAAAGCAGCAAGGGAAGGGCCCACGGGAGGCTGATCCGTGCAAGAGTGTGTGTGGGGGCTCCTGAGCCCCCACTCCAAGCCACTCTGGGAGAGAGGTAAGGAGGGCTCTGCTTGCTCTTGACCCTGTGCCCACTCAGGCCCCCAGGGGAGATGCCTGACTCGAAGCACTGCGCATGCGTGCCTCTGCATGCGCCGAGGCAGGGTGGGGTTGCGTGTCTGGGGGTCAGGGGCAGGAACCTGCCCGCCGGTGGAAAGAAAGGGGGCAGGCATCCCCTTCTCCCCACGGTTACCCCCAATCCCTTAGGGTCACCACCTAAGATTCTCCCAGAGTCCACAACTCCTGTCTTCCTGATGCCTGCATCCCCTATCTGGCCAGGGAAGCTCAGGGGTGACATGGTCTTTGGGGTGGTGGGGAGGCAGAAGGCCCCATCCCACCCTCAATGGGGTGGCGGTGGTAGGGACCAGGTGGCCCAAAAAGCTGGCAAAGGAACGGAGGAGAGCAAGAAACCCAACTGCACTTACCAGCTTTCCTGGAGTCACCAACAATGGGTCCCAGTGATGGTGGGACCCCCGCTGACCACCGCCTCCCCAAATCTCAGCTCCATTTGCTTGGCCCCTGCAGCTTCTGGCTAGTTCCCTGTGGACCAGCTGTCATCCTTTCCTTTGAGTGAGGATAGGTGTGGAGGGTGGGCCCCGGACAGGAGGGAGGGGCTCACTGCCCCACACCAAGACAGGCAGGCAGTTGGCCACAACCCCGGGGACCCGCCAGCCCTGCCTGTGCCTCCATCCCTGTTCCTAACATTGCCACCTCACCTGTGCAATCACTGCGTTACTAGTTTTTCTTTAAATATCTCTTTCTCCCCGCCCCCCCAACCCTATAGGAATCCCACAATATTTTTTTCTATTTCTTTTTTTTCCTCTTTTTTTGTTTTTTGTTTTTTGCAAAACTAATTCTTTCACTTTCCTGTCATAAAATCACCTCTGAAAACACAACTTCTTTACAAAAAAAGTCACGAATGACACGGACTCTCAGGAAAACACATTTCTATGGTCTCTGGAAACACCTGTAACTGGAACCCAGGTGGTCGTTCACCTTGGGTAAGGGGAGTCAGGGGGGAAATCACCTCTAAGGACAGAGGAGAAGTACCAGCCCTTATTTGGGGGGGAAGCCAATTGGCACTTGGATGGCCAGAGCCAACACAAAGGGAAGGCGGGGAGGGGTCCAGGAGTGCCAGCCCCCCAAACCCTGTGAGGGCCCTTGTTCTACATCCTGGGGTGCGGAGGGCCAGGGGCCAGGCTGCAGCCCATGGTGGGGAGGTTTGGAAGAAAGAGTCCTCCCACACTTAGGACAAAGGCGTTTTTCCCCTAGTTGGATCCCTTTCTGCCTCCTCTCACCTTCTGCCATCACGCGTGAGCTTAGACACCTGTTGCTGCATATACCAGGGGGCTACGCTGAGCCTTGCACAGGGACACGCCACTCATGCCAAACCGAGCCGGACAGTGGCCTAGGACTGCCTCCGAAGGCTGCCTCCCACAGTGCACCAGGCCCCGGGCCCTGCTGGTCCTCACTCCTCCTCTCCGTCCCCTCCACTTGGGCCTGCCTACGCTCCCAGTGCCCGGCCTAAAATTGGGGCTTTGGTCTCTGCCACTGGCATGGAGGCCTCAGCTCCGTGGCAGCATAGGGAAAGAGAAGCTGCCCAGGGCACCTGAGGCCTCCCACGGCTTCGAGCAGGCTGGGCTGTGAGAAAACCTCAGCGGTCAGAAGCAAAAGAGAGGGGACGAGAGAAGCCGGAGACCCTTGGGAATAGTTTCCAGCCGTCCTCCTTCCCACAAAACACCCAGGAGGAAGGGGAAGCTTGGGGTGGGGGTCTCCCTTCCCTACCTCAGTCTCTACCATACCACGTGTGCAACTACTGAGGCCCAGCTGGTTGGGCTGACCACCCTAAAGGAGAAGGGTGTGGGGGTGCATGCCCCCAGCATACCTGGGCTGGGAGCATAGGCCTGGCAGTCTGCACAGTGAAACCCTCAGACCCACCCAGGTCAGGGATCGGCCTGGTGTCCTCCACAGGCCCAGCTGACCACAAGGGGAGGTCCAGGCCTCTGACAACCCTATTCTGAGGAACCCTAAATGGTGTCGCCTGGACCCAGTGCCCAATGCACATATGGATTCACATACAAACACACCAAGGGGCTGCAGACGCACACGCACAGCTGGAAGTTTTCACAGCAGATTCTTCTAGCACCTTTGGTCGAGAACTGAAGGGGCCTTTAGATGCTGGGAGGCTGTGGCAGGTTGAGGTCCCTGCCAGTTCCCTCTACCTTCCAGACAGGGATTAATAAAGAGATGGGATAGGGTAGAGTCTAAGGGGGCCTGCTTGGGTCTCTCCCAAAAGTGGGTGGTGAGACCCATGCCTCTGGGCTCTGCCATCCCTGCCCCTCCTGCTCAGGCAACTGGAAGAAGGAAAGACACGGTGCCCACACTGGGAGGGCTCTCCTAAGGGGCCCTGCAGCTGCCGGGTTAGCACCGAGAAATCAGATGCTGTGCATGAGAGCTGGAAGCAAGCTGGGGACAGGGTGGGATGTGGAGGGGGCAGCTGAACCCCAGGTTCTGGGGCTCCCCAGGAGTCACCCAGTGGGCCCCACTATGCATGGGCAGGGAGGGTGCCAAGAGACAAGAGGGAGGACTTCCCAGTGCCCTTGCCCCACCTCAGCCCTAAACTGGTCCAGGACTGACCCCCACTGGGCTTCAGGGGACTCCAACTGCCCAACCCCATCCCAGGGTCAACACTGAGCCATTTGAAACAAGCAAAGCACAGGCAGAAGTGTCGCAGGGAGGGGGAGGGAACAAGAGTATGACTTTGGGCAGGAGGGCTCCCCCCAAAGTCCTCTCCTTGGTGGAGCCCCCTCACTTGCTCACCCCACAGCTGCCACCGCCCCCTGCGGCACCTGCTACCCCAGCAGCCACCTTCTCGAAATCTTCAGGGTTGCAGAATTCCTTGATAGTGACCGTCAGGAGGTTGCTGGTGACATCTGTGACAACCACATTGGAGCAGGGTGACATTTCGGGGCGCCAGTCCCCAGCCTCGGGCTCTGAGGAGGTGCTAGCAGGCTCAGGGGCTGTGAGAAGTGCCTGGCTGGCAGCAGCAGTGACGTCGGTGGGTGCCCGCTTGCTGGTGGCTGCCGACTCGGGAGAAATGGATAGGTCAAGCACCTCGGGCTCCCGCCAGTTGGGGGCAGATGGGCTCATGGTCTCCGGGAGCAGCTTGGGGGGCGCATCGTCCGGGTCGGAGGAGGACTGCGGCGCTGGTGAAGGGCAGCCGGAGGAACTGGAGCTTTGGGCATCGTAGGGGGCCGTGGGGGCCGCCAGGAGCAGACCCGGGGCTGTGGAGGCAGCAATGTCGGCCTTGCCGGCGGGTGGAGGCGACACAGGGCCCGGCGGAGGCTTATTGTACAGCGCGAACGCGCCGAACTTCATGTGGCGGATCTGCGTACGCAGGACGCTGTCGCTGAACTTCTTGCTCTTGCCGATGACGCGGTTCCTCGAGGGCACTTTGGGGCGGGCGAGGCTCCCAGTCCCCTGCCCAGTGCCACCTCCACCCGTGCCCTTATCAATGACTTTCAGGTTCAGGATAATGCGGTTCCGCTTAGGCTCCCGAGGCTTTGCCTTGCGGTTGATAATGCGCACGGTCTCAGAGAAAGGCGAGATGGGTGGGCGCAGGCCAGGGCTGCCCCCCTGGGGGTCTGGCCGGGGCAGCGGGCGGCGGGACATGCGGTGGCAGCGGCGGATGTCCTTCTTGAGACGGTGCACGGCTGCGCTGGAGTGCAGCTTGGGTGAGGAGGCGCTGGCGCTCGGCTTGACTGAGAAATGAACATCGCTGATGCGGAGGGCCTCGGCCTGGGCCCGCGCCTGTGGGGCAGAAGGAGGGGGTGGGTGGGGGCTGGGGTTCCTGCTGCCCTCCTCTGGATACCCCCGTGACAGCCATCCACACGTATGGTCTCATGAAACCATACTGAGAGCACTTAGGAGAATCAGTGCTGCTCGTGACCCATCTTAGAGATAAAAGGCAACAGGCTCAGAAGGGCAAAGCAAGTGCAAACGGTCAGAGGGCAAGTCAGCCCCTTCTCCAGGCCTGATTCCAAGACCCACACTACCTGTGCAAGGTTGGCGGTGGGCCCTCGGGACAGATGGGTTAGTGCCTGCCCTTGCTGACAGGCGTGCCAGCAGTTGGGACAATGCATGGAGAGAACAGCCCTTTGTTCAGAAGCCTCCGAGCAACCCTGCTCTGTGAAGGAGCCCAGCCCAGCCTGGCACGCCTCCAGACCAATTCTTGGGGACAGAAAGGAGAGGGAGGCCCCTCCCTGCTCCACCCTCCACCTACACCCCAGCCCGACCTACTTGCAGGGTCCCAAATTCCCTGGACTTTCTCTCTCTGCCTTTGACAGGCTGCACCTCCGGCTTGGACTTGCCTCCCAGCTGATCACTGCCTTTGGGGTAGGAAAGCCAAGCGGAGTGGACAGCCAGATACTGTCCCAGGCGCCTCTGCCCAGCTGCATCCCCATGTGTGCAATCTATAAAGCCTTAGGGCTCTGCAGCAGCTCACCTGCTACACTGTGCAACACTCTGGGTTTGGCAGGGCCTTCAGGGACCCCCAGGTTCAGGGCAAGGGATTCACCAAGGCCAGATCAGCTGTCCTCCATGGCCTATCTATCTTTCCTTCACTATGAAAGTACTAATGGGGATGTGCCAGCTGCCTGGGGCTACAACTATGATGCACAGCCTCTACAGGGAAGGGCGGGGGAGGGCTGTGGTCCTCGAGGAAGAAAAGCAACAGGCAGTTAGGATGCAGGGTGACTCCATGTAATCAAGTGCAGGGCCCAAAGGAGCAGATAGGGGCCCAGGCGCAGGGCCTGGAGGATGAAACCCGAGTAGGTGAGAGCCCTGGTCCTTCCTGAGCACGACCATGCCCCAGGCAGTCTGCTGAAGGGGCACTGCCAAGATAAATGGTAGAGGCAGAGAGAGACCGATGGTGAAAGGATGCAGAGTGGCCAAGGGACCAAAAGCAATGGCTGGACAGAGGGCAGAGGTAGATGATTGATCTGTGCTCTACAGACGCTCCGGCTCCTGGTGGGGCAGGGGGCTCATTAGGGGTGACTGCATCCATCCAGGTGGGAGGTGGTGGCCAAGAAAAAGACACATTCCCGAAGTCTGAGACTGGGATCTGTAGCTTACCTAGTACCTGGGAAGTAGCCTTTATGCCCCTCAGATGAGGCTAGATTATATCTGACCACAACCCCCAGAAGAGGTATTTGCTGACTTATTTGCTAAATAAGGACGTCTTTATTCAGAATGTGGGAGAAGCACGCTTTAGTGCCACATGGCCCTCCCACACACTTAGGGCCTCCAGGGGCTGCCTGGTCAACAACCTGGCACTAGGTGGCAGCATACAGTCAGCCCCCCCAACCCTCACCCCCCAGCGTGAGGGTTGGGGCTGCCAGCTCCTCCAGCTTCTAGCCAGCAGAGTCAGGGACTGGTTCCCTTATATCCCTTCCCAAAGGCAGGGAAAGCCACCAGCCTTTCCTTGGTATGGCAAGCAGGACCTTTTGCAGGTTCATCCCCCATGGGAGCTTAGGGGATCCCCACTCTTTCTGATCGCCCCTGGGGTTTAGCATCTGCTCCCTCTGTATATTGCATATATGGTTCTACCAGAGTTCAGTGGTGATGGACAGTCCTTGGAGAGTGGCTAAGAGTGTGGAAACATCAGATTCAGGATGAAACCCCAGCTCAGTGGGCCTCCTGTGTGTTTTCCCCTATCTGTGCAATCATAGCAGGACCTCCTATGACCATCTGTACATGTCACCTGCTTAGCATACCCTGCACGCAGCAAGTACTCAATAAACACTAGATTTATCCTTGAAGGGGGGTGGGGGGCTGGGTTTATGAGCAATAAGTTTTTTCTAGTGTATGGTTTCTAAGCTTTCTATGAGAAACATTTCTTACTTTATAATTTTTAAATAGAATTTTTAAAAAAGGGGACTGGTTTAATCTTCCTCCTCCTTTCCCTGCTCCAGATGGAGAATTTTCTGAAGGTGAGACCTAGGTCTGTCTGTGAATTACAAATGGTCAACCATAGCCAATGTGTCTGCTGCACTCTGACTGGGTGACAGGCATGCCTCTGAGGGGTTGGCATGTGTTACAGACAGCATAGAAGGTTAAACACCTGGACTCTGCCACTGACACTTTGTGACCATAGGCAAGTTATTTAATCAATCTGGCCTCAGTGTTCCTATGTGTAAAATGGGGATAATGCAACCTACCTTGTGGACTCCTGTTCCCTTAGACTTGTTCCTGGCAGAAAGTGCTATCTGAGTGTAATTGGTTTACTAAACACACTGCCTCTCAGTGACTCACAGAGCAATGGGTTCAGGCCACGCTGATCTCCATTACCCCTTGCAAAGATCCCTATCATTTTCGTGCTACCTGTTTTTAAGGTCCAGAGCAAGGTTCTTTCATCCTGCCTCTCCATCCCCTACCCCTTCATGGTTTCCTGTGTGTGTTTGTCCACCTTGCACCCTTAACTTGATGTGTACTCTCTGAGGGACACGGTGAAGAGACAGAATGAAGCCATGAAGTTGGGTGGTGGGACCTCAGGTAAGTCACTTCCCCTCTCTGGGCCTTGATTTTATCATATGCAAAATGGAGATAATACTCCCTACTTCATAGGGTTGTTGAAAGGATTAAAGGAGATAATCCATGTGAGGGCTCAGGACTCTGTTAGGTCTAGAGCCAGCTCAGGAACTAGAGCTATCAGAAAAATAAAAGAGGCATTTTGTGAATCAGTGCTCGTGGTCATTACTCGCTTCACCGCTAGAGGGTGCTACAGCGGCGCTGAGAGGCTGTCACAGCCCACAAGCCCTCCAGCTGCTCTACCCCCATCCCTCGTAAGAAGCATCAGGGTTTAGGCAGCTTCATGGAACCCCTAAGATGTGTGCAGGTCGGGCCAGGGGTCACAGAAATATGTAGCTCTGGAAACATTTCTTTCACTTCTGCTTTGAGTCCAAAGCAACCCTTACACATGCACAATCCTTTTGAGACGGGAGGCGGGGCTAGAGACGGCCACCCCACTCTCATTGGGCTTTGAGCCTTTTGGACGAATTGGTGGTGAATCTGAGCTTTAGCATTCTGCACAGTCTCTTCTCTGCAGAGTCCTCGCTGCCCTTCCTGTGCCACTTGCCACAAAGTCACAACTGTTGGGTGGGAAGGGGCCCTGAGACAATCTGAGCACTAACAGGGGGCCTGTGGTTGCCCAGGGAGGCCCGTCTGCCACCTCGAGTCATCTTGCCCTCCCTTTCCTACACTGTTCTTTCTCACTAAAAAAATAAAATAAACCCCCAAAACTCTAAAATGGCTTCCTCTGGAGCTAGGTCTCCCTCCCTTGCCAAGGCTAATGCTTTGCTTTCACTCTCCCACTCTCCATCCTCATTAGAACCTCCAGAAACAGCCAGGGGTGGAGGGAAACTGAGGCTCAGAGCCCTGAAGCCAGTGGCTCAGCCTGGATGATAAATTCATAGTGAAGTGATTTAAGGTCAAATTCAAGTTGGATCCCCCAGTGAGGAGGGGAAGCATGCAGAACAAATTTCTAAGAGAGAGAGGGAAGCCGGGGGCAGGGAGGCAAGTGGCCCCCAAATGCTTCTCCCTGTTCCCTGCCATGCGGGAGACCACATTTACTTTCCTGCTGGGTTCTAATTCCAGGCAGAGCCCAAGGAGAGATGGCTTAAGGCTGGGGGAGAAGAGGGCTCTCACGTGCAGAAGCGACCTCTCTGCCCCACTCAGGTGATCAGTCTCCACCTGCTTTATCCACCCCCTTTTTGGAGCCCTGCTGACCTCCGCAAATCCTGGTTTTGGCTAGCGAGGATTACCCCATCCTCACCCTCCACTCCCAGGACCCTCTTGCTGAAGCTGGAGCCGGGCGGGGCCTGCTGCCAGGGGCTTGTCGGGGGCTCATAACCACCCCCTGCCCAGCTGGGGCCCCTCTGCAAAGGCCCGCCCAAACGGGCGGCCGCCGATCTGTCCCTCCCTTGCAGGCCCCGTGCTGTGCTGGGGCTAGGGGCCCGAGAGGGGGCTGCTGGGGCTGGGCCAGATTACCTTTAGGAGGAAAGTTTTGGGTTTGGGTCCCCTCTTCTTGGGCCCATACAGCTCACGCTCCCTCTCCCTGCAGCCGAGAAACGCCAAAGGTTAAAAAGAGACCCTTCCCGGGCCCCACTCCGCGCTGCCCTCCCCTGCTCCCCCGTTTCCCAGCGAAGCGCCCCAGCCGAGCTTTGGCCCCGCCGCCCTGCCAGCTTCCGAAAACTCACTTTTGCTCGAAGGCTGCAATGAGCCGCGAGTCCAGGATGTTCTCCTCGGGCTCCCAAGTGCTGTACCTGGCGAGTTACACATGCACAAAATAACCAGAGAGACAGAGGCACATGCGAGGGCGCAAACGTGCGCACCCCTCAAGGCAAAAAAAGGCCCAGTGTCCGCTGCCTCCCCTCCCCCCTCGTCCCTGGACCCCACGACACTCACTTAATGGCCCACCCCTTCCATTTCACCAGGTACTCGATACGTCCCTGAAAAACAGAAAAAAAAGGGGGGAGGGGAAGTGGGGGTGGGGAGATGCAGGGACGCGAGGAGGCGGCGGCGCGGGGGTGGGCGAGAGAGCCCGGGTTAGCGGGACCGCTTCGCCCCGAAGGCCTGCGGACCCGACCACCGGCTGCGGGGCGAGGCGTCCAGCCCCGGGAGGCGGCTTACCTTTCGGATCCGCCGTTTGATGATGGATTCGGCCGCAAAGACCCGCTCGCCCACTGCAGACAGCTCCATCTTGCTCAGCGGCACCCACAGCCCATAATACTCCCTGCTCCCGCGGCCGGTGCTGCACCGCTCGCGCACGCGCCGCAGCGCACAGGGCCCGGCGGGCGGGCGCGCGGCGGGGCGCGCGCTCGCGCTCCAGCTGCGGGCCGTCACGTGACCTTTCGGGCCGGCACGCCGTTGCCAGGACCTCCCCCTCCCCCGGGGCCGTTGCTAGGGAAAGTGAGCGTACGCGGGGCGGGGGCGCGCGCTGGCTCTTAAAGCGGCCTCGCCTGGCGAAGAGAGCCGGGGCCTAGAGCGGGGTGGATGCTTGGCTTGTGCGAACCTGGTCCGGCTTAGCGCAGTCTTACATTTTCCACTCCTCTCTCCATTTTACCGGCCCTCAATAGCTGACAACTTTTAACCCCACCCCCCATGCAAATCTCGCCAGGCCCCAGGCGGGGAAGGGCGATGGAGTCTGCAGCCGCTGCGCATCCTCCCAGCAGAAGTTTGCAAACAGTTAAATATGATACAGCAGAAATGCATTTGCTGTTGCCTTGCCAGGCCCTGCGGGAATTTCTTTAAAACATTGCCGCACTCCCCCCACCCCCCAACCATCCATTATTTATGTATTCGTGGGAGTGTGGTTTTGTAACCAGTTCAGATGAATTAAAACAAAAACGCCACCGCAGGAAAGGATGCGGTGAATGGGGCCGAGGAAGGCCAGGGTGATCCTGTGCATGTGTTCTTCGGCCAAGGTCTTGGGCGGCACCTGCCTTCACCCAGGAGGCCCAGTGAAGACCGCAGAGAGGATTATGTGGAGATGGAAGCAGGGTGGGAACTGGGTCCCTGCACTCGCATTGGGCCGAAAGCAGACCATCCTTGAGTCGTTAGGCAGAAACCCCCCTCAGGGTCATGTCTGTAAGTTTTCTGATTCCCAAGCTCCCTGGCAGGCATCACTCTCCTGCCACCTGCAGTTCCTCCAATGGTTCCGCCATTGCTCACGCGGAGACCCGACCACAGCTTCTTATTTGGGGAGAGGATGAGACACCTGGGCTGTCCCAGAATGGGCACAAAGTAGCCCTGCCACACAAAACGCTCTATTTCTTTTATTTTGGATTATTTAAACTTTATTTTTATTACACCAACAGTTTTGTTCTTTGTCAATTAAAAAAAAGTTCTTTGTCAAAAAAAGCAACTGTCCACAATCTCACCAAACCATTAACATCTTTAGGAATCTTCTTCCAGCCTCTGTTCTGTGCCTATATAAACACACGTAAATAGGCATACACACACACACACACACACACACTATATATATATAAATAAAATCTTTTTAACAGAAGGGATCATGTGATTCACACTGGAATCTGCTTTTCTTAATGATATAAGGCGGACCTCTTTTGGTGTCATTGCATACGGATTTCATCATTGTTTCAGTGCCTGTGGTGGGGCTGAGATGGAGGTGGAGAGGAATGGGGAAGTGGTAAGGATCAGGGTTGTCTCCTGTTCTCATTACTTGTTTATCAGTAAGGGTGATTTTTACATTTCTGTGATGCGATTTCAAACCAACCATATCAAAATTTCCGCTTCTCATTCCTGCACCTCTGCAGATTTGTCCAATTGTTACCTTGGGAGAAATCCTCCTCCCCACTTGAAAAATCAACATACTCTTGAGAAACAGCTGTTTGCTGGCCAGCCCAAAGTGGGTGGGCTTGGTGTAAGAACAGATCTGCCCTCCTAGGAAGGTGGGGGTGAATGGGTAGGTGAGCTATGTGGATATGAGTGTTTGTGTGTGTGTGTGTGTGTGTGTGTGTGTGTGTGTGTGTGTGTGTGTGTTTTCATGCTGAGGGAGACAGGCTGATAAGCACTAATTCATTTGTTAGTTTGTTCAGCAGCTTTTGTGGGCCCTTTTTCAGGGTTTTTGTTAAACCAGTCAGGTGAGAAAGACACCTGCCTTATAGTATGACCAGTGCTAGAATAAGGATGTGTTAATTTCCTATGACTGCTGTAAGAAATTACCACACACTCAGTGGCTGAAAGCAATATAAATGTGTTATCTTAAATGTGTTAAATATGTTCTGGAGGTCAAAAGTCCCAAACCAGTGTCACTGAGCTGAGGTCCCGATATCCTTAGGGCTGGTTCCTTCTGGGGGCTCTAGGAGAAAGTACATTCCTTGCCTCATCCACTTCTAGAAGCTGCTGGCATTCCTTGGCTCGTGGCTCTATCACTCCAATCTTTACTTTTGCCTTCTCTTGACTGACCTGTTATGTGTGTCACATGCTGTTTAGTGGGCTCCGACTCCTGGCCACCCTATGAATGAATGATGTCCACGATGGTCTGTTTTCAGCAGCCTTGCTCAGCTCCTGTGGACTCACGCCTGTGGCTTCTTTTATGGAGTCAATCCATCTCATGTGTGGTCTTTCTCTTTTCCTGCCGCCTTCTGTTTCCCCCAGTATTATTGTCTCTTCCAGAGAAGCCTACCGTCTCATGATGTGCCTGAAGTAAGACAGCTTCAGTTTTGTCATTTTTGCCCCTAGCGATGTTTCAGGCTTAATTTGCTCTAGGACCCACTTGTTCGTCTTCCTGGTGGTCCAGGGGATCATAGAGCTCTCCTCCAGCATCACATTTCAAATGAATCAAATTTATTTTTCTATCAGCCTTCTTTTTTTAAAAAAATTGGGGAATTGGGGGATGGGAACAGCACTGGGGAATTGGGGGAAGGGGAACAGACAAGTTGCTGTCCTTTTGTTCTTCAGTCTAGTTGTGGAGGACGTCGCTTCACTGGCCCAAGTTGGCACCATCATTGCGCTCTTCCCAGGCGAGGCAGATCAGTCGCCGGCTTCTGGACAGCCGCTCACGCTGGCTGCTGGCTACACATGGTAGCCCATGGCAACCCACTGCCGCAGGGGCTGCAGCCTATGCCGTTACTGGGGACTCACGGCAAACAAGCTCCAGGTTGAGCTGTTGTTCAGCATCTTAGCTGTAGAGGGCAGTGTCACTGGCCCTCATGTGTGGGATCCGAACCAGGGCCCTCTGGCATCCCAAGCCAGCTCCTAACCAACGCGCCATTTGGCCAGCCCCCTATCAGCCTTCTTCACCATCCAACTCTCACATCTGTACACAGTAATTGGGAATACGAAGGTATGGATAATCTTAGCCTTGGTCTCTAGCGACACATCTTTGCTTTTGGTAATCTTTCCTAATTCTTCCATTGCCGTCTTTCCGAGCCTCAGCCTTCTTTTCATTTCTTAACTGCAACCTCCATTTGAATTGATGACTGAATCAAGGACTGACTCCTGCTTCCTTCTAATAAGGACCCTTGTGATTATACTGGGCCCACCCAAATAATCAAGAGTTATTTCCCCATCTTCACATCCTTACCTTAATCATATCTGTGAAGTCCCATTTACCATACTTCACATCCTTACCTTAATCATATCTGTGAAGTCCCATTTACCATAGAGTAACATTTATATAGGGTATGTAAGGTATCATGTTCATAGGTTCTGGGGATTAGAATGTGGACATCTTGGGGTGGGGGATATTATTCAGCCTACCACAAAATGTATGCATAGGATGCCTTGGGAGTCTATATATATTAGTCTGCGTTCTCCAGAGAAACAGAGCCAATAGCATGTATATAGGGACATATAAGAGGAGATTTATTATAGGAATTGGTTCACGTGGTCATGGAGAGAAGTCAACCATCTGCACGCTGGAGACCAAGAAAGCTGTTCTGGACTTTTGACCTACAGAAACTGAAATGGTACATGAATGTTGTTTTCAGCCATTACATTTTGGTAATTTGTTACAGAGCAGTAGAAAACTAATATATAAAGCTATTCCAGATTCAGGGATGGGGAAATAGACTCCACCCCTGGATAGAAGGAGTGACAAGGTCACATTGAAAAGGGAACCCAGGGCCATTATAATAATAATTTGCCACAAGTGGGTTCCCAGCTGGGACAGAGCTCATGCTCAAAGCTGATGAGATCCTTGGGGTCAGATGCTCCTTCCACCTGGGCACCTGTAGGATTCGGGGCACCTGCCTCAGCGCCTTCCACCAGCTGGCTCATGTGGATGCTTAATAAATGTTTGCTGGACAAAGGAAAGAAAAATGCACTGAAACCTGGGCTATGCAGAAGCTGGGAAGTTAAGGCCTTGGCTAAAAAGGATTTGCTTGTGCTTGGGGCAGGGAAGGGCTAAGGGATGTAGGGGAAGTGGTTTGTCACAGTCTTAGATGTCAGGCCAGTGTGGTTGACACACTCAGACTGTCTCTTGAGGCTTTGAGCACTGTTAGAATTGTAAAAGAATATGAGCTTCTTTGGTTCCTTTCCCCTGAAGACCTGTCCAAGTTCACTTTCCAGAGTGAACCATCCCCTTCCTGATGCTAAAAGGCAGTGCCTTGAGCTTGGAACCACAGGCCACAGGCCACATTCTGTCCCCAGTCTGGGGTCCTGAAGGCCTAGAGTATGGGTTATAATACAGTGGGAGTGGCATCCTACGTGTGTTTAACCCAACAGTCAAGTCTGTGCATTTGTCGCCATCATTTAAACAATGTAAAATGATATTCTGCAGATGTATTCATTACTACGTACTGTGACATTACCCACTACATGTTTGTCTTAGGTTGTCAAGTGACTTAGTAAGGATGTGCTCCCAGGAGAATGCTAAGGGATTTAATGAAGCAGGATGGGAAAGGGGAGATGCCAAGCGGAGATCAGGATGTCATCTCAGGTGCAGTCCTGCATGGGGGAGCTCAGCCTGATCCTGTGGGGAGCTCTGGAGCATAAGTTACTCCTCTATATTTGTTCCAACCCATAAGCACTGGTTAAAGGCTGTAGGGGGCGGGAGTTAGGTGAGCCAATGTCCATTCCCAGCGACTGCCTGCTTTCTGCCTCAGTGTGCAAAGTGGCTTCAGTGCCCTGAGTGGTCTTGGGCATCAAGGCCGCAGGTACCGCCTTGTTGGAGAGAAAAGGCACATGGTGGGATGGGGGTGGGCCATAACAAAGTGACCCCAGGGGATCTGGGCAGACAGCAGATACTACCGTACAGGGTTGAGCCATAACACCATGTGTATGGCACTTTATGGGCTCTGCAAACGCCAAGTTCGTTCCCACCACAGGCCCTTGGC